AGGTCTGCTCCTGCCCTCTGCCATGCTGCTGCAGATGTGGCTTCTAGTGTGATGGTAGGACTCTGATGTGAAGGGAGGCTATGATGTGAAACAGGAAATTCTGATGTGATAGGAGGGGGATCCTAGTGTAAAGGGGGGCTCTGATGTAAAGGGGGACTTTGATGTGAAGGGAAGAACGCCACTTTTTTCTTATATTATGATTATGATATAGATGCTAGAACGCCTACTGCAAACTTCTTTCAACTACAAGCAGGGTTAATTTAATAATTTCAGTGCTGGCCGAGATGACTAGAAGTTCTGAAGGCAATAGATCTACACAACAAAGAGAGCTAAAGAAATCCCCTTACTGCACAGCCTGCAAAAGGGATCTGTGACCAGTGACGGAGATTCTGAAGTCTCCTTCTGCACTATAACATCAGCTCTTCTTGATTGGAAATGTCACAGTGGGTATGGGGTCAGTGTCAAGAGCAAACAGAGTAATTCTTAATAATAATGTGATGGATATGTGTTATCCTCACATGTACACAGATTTTCTACATTTAAATTGCCTCAACATAACCCCTCCTTCCCAGGCCCCATAGCAGCCACGTGGGTTGCTATGGCTATTAATGTCCAAGTCTCATCACACTACTGACCGGTAAGTCCCTTTGGAATGGGTGGGTGCAGCAGTGACAAATGTCACTGGCACTCCAGTATGCTGGTCAATACACCTTTATTGCATGCTCAGTATCACATAACACAATGTTTCTGGGCCACACAGGGTACCCTTCATCAAGCATCACTGTTTTGCCTGATGAAGAGGATCCTGCATGGCCCCGACATGTCATGTTAAGTAATACGAAGCATGAGTCAATAAAGGCGTATTGATGAGCATACCGGAGTGCAAGTGACCCCTTCTTTTCTTGTTTGCTATTACTATAGTTACTCCGCTGAATAAAGCTTTCCTTATACTCGTCATTCTTCATTCAGTGACAGATTCCAAAACTTGATTCATTTTTTATGCAAAATGTTCATTTCTAGTTTTTCTAAATAAACTACAGACATGTTTTCCACCAATGTGCTTTGTAAACCATGTGATCACACATCCCATTCCACTCTTTCCCTATCAAGTATAGTGCGGCTTATCTTTTTAACACCCCAGTGCGTGCACACCTGACAGTTACCTAAACAATGCTTTGTGGAACATCCTTGCAGATTTAAAGATTGCTGACAGTGATACAGAATGAGAGATTAGAGGTTAGAGCACCTGTGCAAATTGCCAAAAGCATACATTCAAGTCATTTTTATTGTGGTTAAAATGGGGATAATAGTATCAGGGTTTAAAGTGAAGTTTTCCTATGAAGACTACTTCAAAAAGGTGGCAAGCATGGATGAATGTGAGTTACTTGTCTGATAATACAAAAGAAGCAGGGAAGGAATGAGCCGGGTGCTTGCCACTGGGAGCACATCCACGCTCCAATATGAGCCCATACCAACAGATGAAAAGCTGGCCACACAGTGGATTCTGCTGGGATAGTTTATTGAAGCTTGTATCACATCACTGTTGTACGTCCCATGTTGTGCCCTTTGTGACATGTTTCATCCAAACGCAGGCTTAGTCAAAAAGATCTTTATGACCAATTCTTTAATTGGGTAAAACGTGTCCGGGGGTTGAACCTTGGGCAGGACACCCGTGATGTGGTACAAGCATCAATATACTATCCTAGCGGAATCTGGCGTGTGGCCAGCTTTTCTTCTGTTTGTATGGGTCCTTTTGGAAATATTGCATTTGTGTACACAGATCTCAGTAACATAAAACAACTAATAGTGTTCAGAGTAAACCAGCATTTCATAAAAATAATTTAATCTATAAATGAGGTTGTTTCCTATGTACCATGAAATGCAAGAACGTACCTTAGTCCCCTTTTATTGGGGAACCCCAAAACAGTTTGGCATTTGGAATATACAGGTGAAACTCGAATAATTAGAATATCGTGCAAAGTTCCTTTATTTCACTAATGCAACTTAAAAGGTGAAACTAATATATGAGATAGACTCATTACATGCAAAGCAAGACAATTCAAGCCGTGATTTGTCATAATTGTGATGATTATGGCTTACAGCTCATGAAAACCCCAAGAACCCCAAATCCACAACCTCAAAAAAGTAGATTATTACATGCAATCAATAAAACAAGGATTGTACATAGAACAATATCGGACCTCTGAAAAGTACAAGCATGCATATGTACTCAGTACTTGGTTTGGGCCCCTTTTGCAGCACTTACTGCAATTACTTTTGCATGATATTCTAATTATTCGAGTTTCACCTGTATAGTAGGAAAAGAAGGCATTCCCTCCTCCCCTTTCCCATAATGCAGTACTCCAAGCATATTTAGAGGAAGGGCATTCTAAGAATATGCAAATGCTGACTTTCAGAAAGTCAATGTTTGTGCAAGGCATTTAACGAGTCTGCAATAGTGCTTCTAAGTGGTTTTCAGTTTTGATGTGTAGGGGCTTGCTGTGACCCCAGTGCGCCTGAGTTCACCCAAGCCCACACAAAACTGTAACTGACACCCCCCCCCCCCCCCCTCCGCCTCCCCCCCCCCCCTCTTCCTGGCCCAATCAATTGCAGCAGGGGCATTCCACACTCTATTGTGATCTGTAGCTATGAGGTGAGGACTGCCCCTGCCACAACCTATTGAACAGGGAGGTGTGTGTGTTAGGCTCTGTTCACACCGTGACGCACGTTTTTACCGCGATTCGCGGTAAAAAAACGTGCAACAAACGCGCGTTTCCAAGGGCTACTTGGCTGTATCCCAATAGACATGCGGGACAAAAACGCCGCAAAGAAGCTCATGTACCTTTTCAGGCGTAGGCCGTTTTTTAGCGCGTTCAGACGGGCTGAAATACGGCAAGGTGTGAACCATACCCATAGGAAACAATGGGATTTTCATGTTTGAGCGTTTTGTAGAGCGTTCGAAGAGCGTTGAACGCGCTACAAAACGTACAGCTGTGAACCAGGCCTTAGTCACAATTACAGGTATGCTCTTGCAACTAAAGGTGCATTCTCTACATGCTCACTTAGTTCAAATATACTTTTTTTTTAACATAGGTGTACTTTAGGATGGCTGTCTCTTAGTATTTATCTGGCCCCAGTAAACATTACACAACAGTTTTAGTCTATCATTTAGGTATTTAAGCACCAGACCAAATAACCAGTTTCAGACCAAATAACCAGTTTGTGTATCTTTATACAGTCCTCTGCTGCCTACATAACACTATATTATTAGACCAATAAATAGACAATTAGACACTATTACTTATTGGTTTACACCATAACAGGTAATATTAATTTACTGTATGTTTCCAATGTGCATTACATGACTTGAAAGCCCTGTACCCATAATGTTACACCATCAATATAGAACATCACTTACATAAGTTGGGGTGTATTTGGAGACAACTTGATGATGACTGAAGATAGATAGATAGATAGATAGATAGATAGATAGATAGATAGATAGATAGATAGAAAGATAGGATAGAAAAAATGACGACCACCATAAATATGGTTGGCACTTTCAATTCCCACCAAAGTCACTGTTAGTGTATATGTTCTTCCTATGTTATTATGGATTGTCCCCATAGTTCAAAAACATACCGAGAGGTTAATTGGCTTCCACCCAAACTAGCCATATGCTGTATGTGTATGAGTGAGGTAGGGACAATAATACCTTTGGCAGTAGGGATGGACATTAATGGTTCAATGCTCTCTGTAAACATCTGTAGAATATCATGGCACCATATGAATGAGTTAAAGAGATAATGAGACAATTGGTTAGAAGCACCAGTCTCCCCATGCTGGTACTGGGAGCTATATATATGAAAATGATTCCCATCGCTTCCAATATTTCTACTTTATTAAACATTGCCATTACACCATAAGCACATTTTCTGTCAATGTGAACCTATCCTATAATGGAATTAGAGGTAAAAACTAAAGAAAACCTAAATATATATATGACCAAGCTAACACAGGCAGCCCACTTGTTATGTATCGCTCAGCTTGGGCTGGTTTCAACCCTTCCATTTTTGCCCGATGCATATTCCATTGAAATCAATGAACATCAATGGGCATCAAAGCGCACATCAACACCCCTCATGTTGCACGGTAATACATTGACATAGACTATGACACACATTGATGTGCAATGTAAACTGCATTGCAACATGCATTAAAATGCATGGCAATGTGTGTTGACATGCGTTTTCATGCCCTATCCATTGATTTCAGGTATAAATTGCACTGAAACGCAAAGGTGCGAATGGGCCCTTAGGAATGTGTGTTCATGTTCACGAACCGAGGACCCCAATCACAGATCTCAGTAAGATATTAATTTGCCAGTTTGAAAAGATTTACAGTTGCGTATAGAGGACCAATCTTTATTGATTAATCTAATTATATCCAGTGGGATGGTAATCATATGGCTGTTGGCTAAACTGGGGAAAGAATTAACCAATCAAAATCTTATTGTGTATGCCCACATGCCACATCACATGACCACCATAACAGATACACCATGTGTATTCCCACATGCCACATCACATGACCACCGTAACAGATACGCCACACAGGTAGGTTGGCACCAGAGGTTCATAACCAGTATAGAAATTTTAAATACAGAGTCTGCAGCCACTAGGAAATGGTAAGAAGGAAATAAGTTGCTGGAAAGTTTTCCAACAGATGCAGAATTACAGTAACTAGACACAATACGGTTGTTTTACTGCCATCACTTAGCCCGGTGAAGCTGTGTTCAGTTTAAATACTCAATCACATGAAGTTGGATTTAAACAATAAATAGGAATTTCCTTTGCGCATGATTGGATCATTGAGCTTTCCTGGGCTCAGTAAACATTGTGCTCCTTTAGGAAATCCAGCCTAGTGCATTGTGATGTTAAAGGAAATCCCCTTCCCTCAAGAGGGACTGCAAAGAGAAAGAACCTGAGCACGTTTCCTACCTGAAAACTCGGATGAAGTTGCTGCCAAGTTGCCTAAAGCTGCAATGTATATTATCCCCAAAGCACCATAAGAAATGTGAGTCGTCCCATAGATTCCCATCCTTAGCAGATCACAGTCTGGCTTGTTCAGAGCAATGTTGTCCTACTCCTGAGATGGTGCATGCACTGTGCTAGTCCCATTGCTCAGGGCACAGGAACATTCAATCTCCTTCCCTGGGAGGCAATGAATGGATCAGACACAGACAGTGCTGAAACTGTAGCAGCAGGCTCACATCTACCTGTAGGGACAGGCTCTCTGCTGGGTCCTAGCACCAGCCAACCCTACTGCATTTATTCCCCGTGACAGGTCTTTGTGTCACAGTTGGTGGCCAGCTGTCTCTAGAGCAGCCTTTTCAACTTTTTTAACATGGAGGAACCCATGAAATAGCTTTCAGGTTTCAGGGAGTCCCTGACAACAATTATATATCTATAAACTCACAGTACATTAGTGTGTTGGTCCATGGGAAGAATGCTCCTTACATCAGTGGTCAGTGGGAAGAATGTTCCTTACATCAGTGGCCAGTGAGAAGAATGCCCTCCTAACAGATAGCTAAAAAGATCATTAGTATCAGTGGTTATCCGTGATGGACTACAATCTCAGTTTAGTTTACTCATTTGTATAGAGATTGTAGTCCATCCCGGGAGTGAGCTTGGAGCGGTGACTACTTTACAGCACACACAGGGACCATGGGGAACAAAAGTAACCCCCCTCCAGAAGGAAGGACAGTGTCCGCACCAATTCAGAGATGATTTGAGGACCTACAGCCGAGTGATACACAAATAAGATACATTCTTGGTAATAGCTAAGGTACTTGAATGCATTTTGAAGATTTAACTCCTGATTTAATGTCACTCTAAGGAACCTCTAGCTACCTCTGGAGGAACCCCATAGGTTCCATGGAACCCTAGTTGAGCAAGGCAGCTCTAGAGAGTTCCAGGTTTTCCCTTTTCCTGGGAATGCTAGTTTGTACATACCAACCTCAAAGTGCCCACGCAATCTTATTTTGTACTCCTAAAGGGGTCCATCCACCCAAAAGTGATATTTTAGCTAGGCGTGGAGCATGCTGTAAGAGTCAACCCCTTGAATTTATTTAGTCCTAAATTATCTTAATATTGAGATCTCCCTGCCATAAATTTCCAAATCTGTTTCTGACCACCTCAGTGTGTGCCAGCTCCTTCTGTTACGTTATCCATTATATAAAATATATGAAAAACCCAGCAGCCAATGGCCACAGCAAGTATCCAGACCTGGGAATTCCCCTTCCTTCCTTCTTTTTTTTCCCCTTCCCTTTTTTCTTTCTTTCTACCTACCTTCCTTCCATCCAATCCTTTCTTCCCCCTTTCTTTCTTCCATTCCATTTCTCTTTCTTTGTTTTTTTCTTTCTTACCTATCTTCCTTATCCCTCTATTCATTTCCCCCCTTCCTTACTTCCTTCCTTCCATTCCATTTCCCCCTTCCTTCCATCATTCCTTCCATCCATTCTTTTTCCCCTTCCTTCCATCCTTCCCCATCATTCCTTTAATTCGTTTTGCTTGTTTACAGATAATTCCCACCACGTATCACTTAGAACATATTCTATGTTAATAATAATAATCTACCGTGTTTCCCCGAAAATAAGACAGTGTCTTATTTTTTTTTTTGCACGAAATAAGACACTAGGTCTTATTTTCGGGGGATGTCTTACTTTCGGGGAAACACGGTATTATTTAATATCTCATCATAAATACATTTGTTTTTCATTTTCTGCACTGTGCTGGCAGATCTCATTATCAGTTGTAAACTAGATTTGAACACTGTCTGTCCTAACAAAGAACTAAAGACTTAGGGGTTATTCACAAAGCTGCCGAAGGCAAGCCGAGTGAATGACCCAGCCGAAGCCGTACATCGACTGAAATCAGTCATACATCGACTTCAACTCAGCTGATCCAACATCTCGATCAGCTGAGCCGAAGCTCCGGCATCTCACTTGCTGCCGTTCGCCCCATTCTCAAAGAGGCCTAACGGCAGTAAGTGAGTAGCCGAATGCCGCCAAGCAGAATAGAAAATAAGTGGGGGGGGGGGGGGGGGGGAAAAAAATTTTTTTTTTTTTTAAATCACCCAAAAGAAAAAAAAAAAAAAGGGGGGGGGGGGGGAGGAGTAAAAAAATTATTTTTAAAATGTAAATAAATTGGAAAATTAAAAAATTAGTAAACATATTCTAAAGAAAAAAAATGATAATAAAGATTTTTTAAACAAACGGGCGGAGCTAGCCATGACAGCTAGCTCCGCCCAATTGCTTTCTATAGGCCGGCACTTGCCAGAGTCTTCTAGCAGGTCCCGGCCAATAAATAACAACTGAGCAGAGGCGGCTGTGACGCCACGGCCGGTTCCACCCAGTTGTTACTTTTTAATGACAGATCAGCGTCCCCAGGTCATTTGGGGGATGCTGATCTGTCATTGCAACTGGGCGGAGCGAGCCGAACGGCCGGCCTTTAGCACGGCTGAGCAGCTCGACCGCCTTTAGCTGCTGTACGGGCTATTGTGAATAGCCTGTATAGCAGCCCTTCGGTGCTCCGGCGGCCGAAAACAGCCGAAGGATCAGCCAAAGCTACGGCTGTAACATTCGGCTCAATAGTGAACAATCCCCTTAGAAGCATTGCATGTTAACCACTTGAAGTCAGCGGTGTTAAACCTCCTTATCATCCAGGCCATTTTTCAGTATTCAGCGCAGCGGTACTTTGACTTTGGCTATATGTGAAACAGCCGGTAACGGCTCTCTGCAGTGCACAGGTTTTTTCTGCCCGTGCGCGCACGCTAGGGGGCGGGCGCAAGCAGAAAAAAAAATGCACCGATACCAGTTCAGATACCAGTGCCGATACTTGGCATTTTCATGAGAACTACCAGGGTTGCAGAGGATTGCAGCTGGGACCTGGCTCTGGCGCTCCACCACTGTCCTGAAATCATTCGTTTGTATTGTTTTAGAAAAACTGTCACATGACAATAAACAAAAATGTATCAGTACCTGTATCTGTGATGACTTGGACAAGTATCAGTATTTGTACTTGAAAAACTGGTATCGGTTACAGCAGAGATGTACAAATCCCAGGAGCTCCGTGTGCTCCTTACAAATGACAGCGGCCTCCTAACTTTTAAATGTTTCTCTAGTCTAGTCCTGGAGCTGGAAAAGTATCTGTACATGTACTTGTACCGAGTACAGTACTTGGTATCGGTGCATCTCTATTTTTCGGTACGCTGTGTGAATGGGAACATATAACAAACATATAGGGGGGTTCTCAAATTTGAGTGAAAAAGTGGAAATACACTTGAGGTCAATCTGTGTGCTTCTCACATTGTGCGAATGGTGAAATCCTCTTATGGAAAGGTGAGATCAAGAATGCCCTAGAGAGCTGGGGGTTTAGGCTTTTGGCGTTACCATTAATATGACATAACATATTAAATTTTTTTCTTTTTTTTCGAAAAATTTTGCCGCTTTTGTCAGGACCACAGGAATGGCTTTTCTAGAGAAGTTATCCCGAGCAGCAGGTGACTAGTTTTTTGAGAAGCTTCAAGAACATCGGCCACCTCAGGGGTTCTCTGAAGCTGCTGACTTCTCCCCGTCCAAGTAGATGACCTCCATTAATTATCATCATCAGCGATAAATGTGGAACATTCTTTGAAATGGGAGAGCAAAAGAAAGAGGGGGGGGGGGGAGTAAAGAATGGAAAAGGGAATATATTTATATCTACACCAAACACAAAAAAGATAACAATAATATTCAAAATTGAAAAAAAAATAATGAAAGGGGCAAATATGTTGTATTTCCTTTGGGACCTACGTGTGCATGTTTTAATGTACATCAGCATTTGTTACAATGAACATTAGCATGCGGTGGCACATGCACATCTTTTTTTCTATGGGCCTTTAGGGCCTATTGACACTGTTGTGTTTTAATGCACGCGTTCTGATGTGATAAAACGTATGTGTTGTTGTTCCCCATAAATAGAGCAGTGTCTGTTCACTTCTTGAGTGTTTTTAAAAGTATGACATATCCGTTTTCTCCTTCTTTTAGTGTGCTGGGGCACCCAGAAGTCAAGGACAATGCACCAAAATAGGTAATAAATAAATGGTCTATTCACTATAAATACTAATTTTTAAAAACTAATTGTAAAGTATATTGATATTATTAAGACCTCCATGACTTCTCCAGAGCCTCTCCCCTCCTCTGGAACTCCCAACCACAACCTCTGGCTATCTCCTACTTTGTCTGCCTTTAGGCGATCCCTGAAACCTCACCTCTTCAGGGAAGTCTATCCCACCTCCTCTTAAAATTTGTACATCTACTCCTTCAATCAGCTCATCCCTCAAGATGTCACCTTCTGTATCACTTGCCACTCCTTGTAGATTGTAAGCTCTCACGAGCAGGGTCCTTCTAATCCTTTGTTATGGTATTGTATTGTAATTGTACTCTCTCTCCGTATGTTGTAACGTGCTGCACAAACTGTTGGCACTATATAAATAATACTAATAATGATGATAATTATATATACCGTGTTTCCCCGAATGTTGAAAGCGAAGGGCACTTTTTACGGCTCATGAAAAATATCAATTTATGATATGTCACCTGATAAATAAAAAAAAAATTATAAAAACTTGCAATCCAGAATTACGGAGAAATTGTACCTAAAATCACTGCTAGAGCTGAGGTACTTTGAACTGCTAATTCGGCTACCCGTGGCAGTAAAAGAGTTAAAAGGCCACCCAGCCTACCAAGTGACACTCCACTCCCCAGTAGGATGGAGCATGCGGACATGAATGGGTGAGCTAAGCCCTTCCCCCACTTCTACACATTCCCTCCCTGCAGGAGGTCCAACTGGCATGCATGGAGTTAATTACGCACAAAGGACTTTTTTTTTTTGTTCCCTCGGTGTGTACATTCGAGTAGGAAATAGTTTTTCCCAAACTTCCCGATTAAAGGAATGCATTGAATTTTTTATTATGTATTTTATGCGTCGCAGTCTAGGTGGGCATCAAGGTTGAAGTGAGTGAGCAGAAATCTTTGATAAATAGCAGATATTCCTCCATGACACCCAATAATGAGATCCTCATAGCAGATGG